GAGAGGCGAAAAAACACTCTAAACGTAGATCTTGGGGGGGGGGCCAGCATATATATATATATACACACGTATAATGATGCTCGGGGGCGGTTGTGGGAGTGTAACTATCAACCAGGGAGAGGCGTTCAGTTCAGTGTCAAGGTTCTCCTCCACTGATCGTCCCACAAGTCCTCGCCGAGCACCAGGGAGCAGAGCCCAGTACCCCCGAATTCAGGAGTACCCCAAGCGACAGCAGGATTCCTAATATGTTTTTCTCAGATATATGGTGTTTTCCCGAGATAAGGGGACCCAAACATAGGTCGACATAATACTACAATCCTGGTTATTGGGACCCCCCAAAACAGGTATCCCTAATTTGGGGAAACCCCTATATTCTTCAATTCAGGCGTACTGGGCCTCCTTGGGAATTACTGGCCTTTGGTTAGCTAGGAATGAAGGAACGGATCCTTATAAGTCTACCTGACCCTCCAAGCAGATGTAAACCTTAATAATCCCAACATAAACCTAGCTTTGTTTTTCTTTACCATTGAGTCTCCATTATTGGGGAAATATCCCTAGATCCTAAACCCTTATCCCTAAACTCCTACATTTCTAAACCCCAAACCCTAAATTCCTAAACCCTAAATCCCTAAACCCTAAATCCTTAAACCCTAAATCCCTAACCCCTCTGACCAGTTGTTGGTGGCTGGACACCGCCCCGTGATCCCACGGATGAAGATCTGCAAGTCTGGACCAAGGCCCTTCCGCGCTTCATGGCCCTACAGGGGTTATAGGGGTTATATTGGGGTTATATATTGGGTTTTAGGGTATATATTGGGGTTATATGGGGATAATGGAACAGAATATGGAAACTACTATTTAGGCTTTAGGGATTTAGGGTTTGAGGATGTAGGGTTTAAGGGCTTAGGGATTTAGGCTTTAGGATTTAGGGTTCAGGGAAAAGGGTTTAGGGATGCAGGGTTTAGGCGTTAGGGATTTAGGGTGTAGGGTTTGGAGTCTGGGGTTTAGGGTTTAGGGCTTAGGCTTCATTACCCTAAACCCTGCACCCTAATGTTGCAAGTTCTTAGTAGGCAAGTAGAGAGCACAATCCCTCTATAATCCGTATAGACTATTCCCCACTCACAACCAGGAAGTAAGTGGAGAATGGTAGGTGGTTCTCAACTCAATCCTGCATGTAGGTACCTCGTGCCTTGGGATCAATGTGGTAGGGATATATATATAGGGGTTGAATTAGGATATGTTGGGGCTATAAAATGGATATACCTCTCTCTCTCTCTCGGGGTTATGGTAGGGCACTCGCCAGTAAATTAAGATCATGCAGGACTTTCAGTTGGATACTGCGTCTACCCTATAACAATACCCCAGAATTGCAACATTCTTATACCTTTCAGTCAAGTCAGGAAGGTGCCGATACATGGTTGAGTGCCGTTCCTTTTGCGCCCCTGCCCTGCCCCAGACCCACCCCACTTTCAGCTCTCGCCACGTTGGGGTTTAGTATTTAGGTGGGGTTGGTTCTCCTTTGCATTTTTTGTACAGCTTTCAAAAACTGATGCACTTGTAATCGAAAGGGGTTAATATTATACCCTTCCTGCTACAAGTCCGTCCACTGTGTTGCTTCTTATGCCTCGGAAAATTTCTGATGAACCTTGTGTACAAGTCTTTGAAACTGTTTGTATCACTCCTCCTTTTGTAGTCCCCAAAACCATGAACCCTAAACCCTGAACCTTAAGCCCTGAGCCCTAAACCCCGGAGGAAAAAAGATCCAAATCCAACCCAGCACACCACGGCGGTGGAAGGGTGGGCTACTAGGACAAAACCATAAATGATGGTGATAGGGTTTAAGGTGGGAACCCCAATCCCGATACACCACTATATACCACTATACAATCCCAGTTTGGATCACGTTTTCCATGTTCCTTTGCATTTGGGTTCTCCAATATTGAGAGTCTATACCCAGGTCCCAACCGTAGAACCTTACATATAGATCCCTATATAGGGGTTTGGGGTATAACTCGTGTTCGTAGTTGTCTAAAAAGTTCCCATACAGAAATCGCATCAACCCCAAAAACGAATGCAGCTCAAGAGTCTATGGCAGCCTCCAAGTAGGGTTTCAAAAGGGTCTGTGAGATACAGGCTCAGATTTACAGCAGTTCAAGGTGGTTTGGAGTTGAGGAAATCGAGGGCCTTGCGCGTCTCCTGCGCAAACATTTCCCATTTTCATGATTAAGTGATCTCATGAAAACTTTCAGAAAATTGTTCTTTCATTGGTCCAGAGGCAGTACAGGATCAACATTCAGGGCCTTCGATTTGGCACTGATGGCTTAGGATGTAGGGTGGGGTGACAGATGCCCTCAATCAAGGATCTTCCTAGGGCTTCCACGTGGCTTCTTTGTTGGTTTAGGGGATTGGGCATGTAGGCTTCAGGGGTTCAGGGTATAGGGCTTGCTCTTAAGGTGGCAGTAGTTGGGGATAGCGGCCTCGGAAGAGATTACAGTAGATTTTGAGCATGGCAAGCAGAACTTGGACAATTAACGAGCAATCGTTTTTGCGAATGTGGTACTGGGTCCTTGTTGTTTCGTGTGCCGAACCCAATGGCCCTGTGCCAAAACCACTGTGCCCTGCGGAACGGCTCATTTGCAAGTTTACAAGCATCGCTGTTGAAAGGCA